TCTTCTTTCAGTTCAGTAGGGATTTAACTCCTGGGTTGTAGACAGCCCTTCCGACCTCATCTCAGACTGGAGGAGTCCACATTTGTAATCTCAGGGAAAAGGTGCTGGCGATCAACTGAGTTAATTCCAATCTACCACTTCCAGGGCAATGCATGGCAAGAATAAAGACATGAAGGCAAATTTGTATTTATGGGGAGTCAAACCGGTCTTAAATCCAGCTAGAATGATGGCTACCCAGAACAAAGGCCATGACCCAGGGCCAAATCCCAGTTTTATTAATTCATGAAGAGAGGAGTGATTCGGGCATGAGTGACTGCGTGAGAAAGGCGGGAAGTACGTGAGTGCTGTGAGCTAGGTTAGGTAGGAGGCCAGAAATCACCTCTGCAATATGCAGAGAGAAAGGCATGCAGAAAGAATAATCCGCATGTCACAGATTGGGGTACACCTAGTGTTCTGGGGTCAGTGCTTCAGTTCTGATGCGTAATTGTCACACCCTGAGATGTCATGGCTTCTTTCTTGAAGCTCAAGCTCAGCTGACAGAGTACCTCACGCTTACTACTTGCGAGCTGTCGTCAGGGCATCACTGACCGGTTGCACTGCATCAAAGACGACCCAGCAGCACCTCAGCTAGACCTAATTATATGGCTGAGAGCCCATTGAGGAGATAAGAACATGTCCTAGCCAGCTCTGTACACACCAACACATGGAGGGAGGGCCAAATGCTCTTCTTTCTTTTTTTTTTTTTTTTTATTTAAGGAGAAAAGAAAAAAAAACAGTGAAAGGGTACAAGTTATACAGACTTACAGAAGAAAAAAATGAACAGTAGGAAATCATTAGTTAATGGATTACATATTGCCATCTTAGAAATAATTGTTCAAGTCACAAAATTAAAGCTTGTAGAGTGGACATTCCAACAATGATACTGCAAACAGTTCTGTTCAATGATCCAATAAAACTCTGTGATATCATTTTCTATCTTATACACTTAAATATACATGCAGTTATATAGTTTAGAGCACTTTCTTTTCCTCTCTTTTGTACAATGACTATTACACATTTTGGGTTTCATTGCTCCCACGGTTCTTATTACTTTTTTGGAAGAGAGTAAAACCAAATGTGACATAACAGAACAGAATCGGTCAAGTCAAAAGGGTGGACATAATAGATAATATAAAAACATAATACAAGGTGATCAACAATGGTTACCATAATGCCTCCCGCTATCTCTAATAGAATTGCCTATATCATTAGTTATAATACAATTAAACAAAACAGTAAAGAACAAAACCGACAAAACCAAAACATTGGAGACATTGTAGGTCTTCAAAAGTAGATAAAAGTCAACAAGAATGGGCGTTATAATGAATCTCATTATCTTCACAGCTGATGCCTAAACTTTCGAACCTGATACTATCCAGCAAAACAGAATAGGGGAACATCAGTCAAAAACAAGATGGTGAGAGTAATACAGGGCTTCAAATCGAGATAATAGAAAGTCAAAGTGGGTTACTATATTATATCCTGCTATTTTTTCCCTTTAATTAAACGGATAAAAATAAAAAAGTAAATAATGGAGTGGAGATTGAGAAAAAAGAGGGCATAACAGCGAAACAGCGCAGATCAAAACATAACCATTTAAGCAGAATAGTGTTTCACCACCAGATAAGTCCGACCCAAAAGTAGTTACCATATTGACTCCTTGAAATCCTTGAGTACAACTTCGAATACTGTAGCATTAAGTATATCAAAACAATGTAAAACCATTTAAGAGAATGACAGCATTACAGAGTATTTAGAATCGACTAACAGAAAATGAACAATGGTTTCTGTATAATCTCCTTGTCTTTAAAAGGTTTTTGCTTATACTATCATACATAATAAAATCCAATAAGATACAACCTGTTTAGACCATTGGAGACAGAAGAACAAAAGCTAGATGAGACTTCAAAACAAGATGATACTAAATCAGTATTACCTATTAAGATGTCATTTTCTCCAAAATAGCTGTTCCTATCATCCAATCTTCTCTGCCTCATTTCTGTTGAGCTCTTTTTCTGTCAGTAGCTGTCAGTTTGTCTTCTTCATTTTGTTCTCTGCTCCATTCGTTGTGGCCTCCCCGCCACTATTTCTGGGTTCTTTGTATTTTTCTTTTTTTAGAATATCCTGCAATACTTTCTGTAGGGTTGAATTAGTGGTTGCAAATTCCCCCAGTTCCTCTTTATCCTGGAAGCACCTTGTTTTTCCATCAATTTCCAGGGACAGTTGTGCAGGATATCTCAATCTTGGCTGGAGATTATTATCTTTCAAAGCTTGAATTATTTCCCCCCATGTTCTTCGTGATTTGATGGTTTGTGCAGAGAAATCTGCTGTAATTCTGATGGGTGTTCCCTTGTAAGTGGTCTGTTTCTTGTCTCTTACAGCTTTTAATATTCTGTTCTTGTATTGAATTTCTGGAATTTTTATTATTATATGCCTGGGTGTTTCTCTGTTAGGGTTGTAGGTAGCTGGGGTCCTGTATGCCTCATACATCTGAGTATCTTTACTTTTTGCTAAATTAGGAAAATTCTCCTGGATTATTTCTGTGAGTAGCTTTTGTAGTTCACTTGTTTGTGTCCCTACTTCTTCTTTTATGTTCTTAATCCTTAAGTTATGGCTCCTCTTATCATCTTCTTGTCTTTGTATTATTGCTGTTTGTTTCTTTGTTATTTTTAAGAAGTTTTTCATTTCATTCTCCCATATTACAAGTCTGCCCTCCAGTTCAGATAGTCTGTCCTTAGTTTCTTTCAAGCTGTTATGCCAGTCTTGGATAGACTTCTTAATTTCTTGATAGTCCCTTTGAACCTGCTTCACGTACTCTATGCTTTCTCTGTTTTCTCCATCAAACAATTCTCCCCTCTTTTTCTGTTCTTCCATTCCACCATCTGTTTTTTCCTGGGTGGTGCTTAGCATTTCTCTAACTATTCTGCATACTTCTAGCTTCAGGTTGTTGATAACTTCATTCCTGAATTGGTCTATGAGGCTCTCTATATGGCGCTTAATGTCTATTGGTGTGGTGACCGCTATTGCCTGTTTCTCAGAATTGGGGGCCGAGGAGCCTTTCTTGTTGCTTCCCTTCCCAATATTCTCTGTTCCTTATATATATGCAAGCTTATATAGGAGGCCCGGCTTCCCTGCCTGTCAGCCACAGTCTGATCAAATTGCGCTGGCTAGGTGTTCCCGCCCACCACTGCGCACCAGGGAGTTACGGACTAGGCAGCCTACGCAGGAGTCAGTCGCCCCTCCGGGCCACCGTCAGGCTCTGGGATCTGGGTTAGGCCAGCCTACCAAGTCCTCCCGCAGCGTCACGCAGGCCAGGCACTTTTCACCAATCCCATCCAAGAGGGGAATGTGTGGCTGGAGTCGCCACCGCACCCTGCTCTTACAGGACTGCCCGAGCCCAGAAAGTCCTCCGCTGGAGTCAAACTGTGGTAGAGTGTCAGTTTCTCTCATTCACCTCGCCACAAGTCAGTGTACGCCTCCTTGTCCGTACTGTTTTCGACTCCATTCGCAGACTCCCGTTCCCAGAGCTTCTGCGCGTCTCTCCTTGCCGAGCCGCTTGTGGAGGCAGCCAGCCGCCGAGCGGCGGGAGACCCAAATTGCGGTTTCCAATGGCGCGGGGTCCAGCCTCCACACCGAGTCTTTTCTGTTCCTATTTTAGCGCCAGGACTGCATTCCAAGTTGGTTTCTCTCAGCCCAGTTCGTTCCTGAGTCAGCATAGCATATCTCTACCGGCTCATGTCTCCTTAGTCCGCATCATTCCTGACTTCTGAGCCAAGCCTTTCAGAGAGCCTCCGGTAGTTGCTGTTATCTGTCCGCCATGTTCTCCCGGAAGTCCAAATGCTCTTCTTTCAAGGAGAGCTGTCTGAGTGTCCCTCGTTACTGCAGAAATCACCTCTCTCCAGAACCCTGAGCCCCAGTACTCCCAAGTCATTCCCAGTGCAGCTGCTTGGGATGCAGCATTGCTAAAACGGCACAATCCCATCCTGTACATATCTCCCAGCTCTGATGATATTTATGGCGGAGAGGACAGATAGTTTATCATCATTCTCATTGTTAAGATTGGCCTTAGCCACACCTCTGTTCTAAGAACATACCATGGGACGATACATCTGTTTTAGTTTGCTAGGGGTTGTCACAGCACAGAATCATAGGCTGGATAGTGTGAACAGCAGAGTTATTTTCTTACACTGTGTTGGCTGAGCTGGAAATTAAGGTGCAGGCAGAGTTGGTTTCATCGGAGGTCTCTTTTTCTGGTTTACTGTTGGCTGGTTTTCCCCCTGGATTTTCACATAGTCTGTGCTCTGGACATCTGTGTCCATTTTCCTCTTCTTATAAGGATACTAGTTATACTGAGTTGTGTCCATCCCCTTCTACCCCCGTGATCTTATTTTAACTTGTCTCTTTAAATCTCCTGTCTCTGTATAGAGTTACATATGGATGGGGGGCATTCAGTAGCATCTAAAATGATATCTTGAAATATATCCTATTTCATCACAGAGACTGGGGTTGCCCATATCAGTCTTCAAAGAATCTGGGCTTTTTTAAAAGTGTGTTTGTTGTTCCAGTGCTGGTGATCGAACCCAAGGCCTTTTGCAGGCTGGGCAAGTGCTCTTCTACTGACCTACACTCACAGTAATCTTAACACTTACAAAAAGAGCCACCCAGCCTTTTTCTAATTTTATTTTGAGACAGGGTCTCCCTAAATTGACCAAGCTGTCCTCAAGCTTGCAGTCCTCTGCCTCAGACTCCTTGTGAACTGGGATAAGAGGCCTGGACCACCACATCCAGCAAATCTCTGTTTTTAAGGGATTTTATTTTCACCTCTTTGTTGAGTAATGAGAAAAGTATCTTGAAGACAAAAATGTCAACATAATTAATGTGGCAGACCTTGTGAGCAGGACATGAAAGTTTAGAGTGTATTTGGCAGCGATAGGTAAGTGGGTTTTAACCTTGTCTTGTAGTCTTGGCTTCTGGAATTGACAGGACGCACTCCCTGCCCATTGACCACCCTGGAAATCATAAATTGCAAGATGGATACATGGTCGCTGGGGAGACTTGGGAAGGCTCTGCAGTTCAGTGGATTACATTCTCTTGTCCTGGATTACTGCAGGTAAGGCTGGAATGCAGAGTTCCAGCGGGCAGGGTTCCTACATGGGGTAGGGGGCCATTGTCCAGCTTCTTTGCCCATCAAGCCTCAACAAGGACCCTCTAAGCCCTCTTTAGGGTTGGAATTCCTGAATTCTCAGGAAGACTCATCAGTTCTTTCAATGCTTATTTGTTTTTAATTTATTTTGAAAGTATACAACAGAACAAGTCAGAATAAAGCCAACTAAGATCGCACAGTGAAATTGGTACAGAACTTCACAGCAGGTTACCAGGATAACAGTAATAGGTATCACAGTATATTTTGTTATCTTTATAATAGTTGTTCTTTCAATCCCATATATAAAAATGAGATGAAATATAGAACACTATAGAACTTACCAAAACAGAATATTGAATAGAGCAGTACCATTAATCAGAAAAGAGCAAAACAGTAATAAAAATATTTGCCTTCAAAGAGATGGTAGAAGGAAGTCCCCCTTATTTGCTATGGTCAACCTCCCAGGAGATGCTCAGATTTCTGGTTCCCACTTGCTAATGGGCAGGGAGGGGGAGGAGAAGAAGGATAGGGGAAGTGGGGTATTTGACTCTAGGCCATGTAGCAGTAGGTTGACTATTGCTAAGCAGGGAGGCAGAATGGTCATTTGTTTTCACAGCGTCCTCAGTTCCAACATGGCATTAATTTTAGGAGACACTGCTAGTTCTCCCCCTGGAAGGGCTGCAGTGGGCCACACTATCGCCGCTTACCAGGGAGAGGAGGTCATCAATGCTTATTTGTTAAAGGACAATTTATAACATGACACTGTGTTCATTGCTCATGACAATTGGCTGTCCAAGGGAGTCTTTGGTGCAGTAGAAGAAAAGAGACAAGCTCTTGATTAGACATAAGGCAAAGCAGACACAAGGAAAGATGTCCCTATTTGTGTTCTGCAGTGCTTCAGATAAAACCCCAGCTGCCTGGGGAGTGGTGGGCTGGTCTTCACCAGGAGCAAGGTGGGGAGATGGGCGGGCACTGGGGAGGATCAGAGTGAGACCTTCGGGGAGTTGAGGAGCGTGTCAGGGAGGAACTGGGGGTAAGACTATTAATAATAATAATACCAGTAAATGTGCCCCGCATGCTTCTCAGATGAGCTCATCTCTCATCCTGATAACCTCATAAAATCTATGCTACTTGTATCCCAGACTGCCATTCAGATCCTTTATGTGAACCTGGGTTTCCCAAGTCACAGTCCAATTCTGATCCATGATACCAGATTTCCTGGGAGTTCTATTTACCACCCACAAATAATTTCAGACTGGTTGTAAGAAATAGAAGCCAGGCATGGTATGTCATGCCTGTATGACAGGGGATCACTTGAATTCAAGGCCAGCCTGGGCTACAGAGTGAGTTTAAAGCCAGCTTGAAGTACAGAGTGAAACCCTGCCTCAAAAAAAAAAAAAAAAAAAAAAAAACAGAAAAACACCCGAAATTGGAGTAAATCATAAACCTTTTGGTCTATAATGAGACAATAGCTGACTCAGAAGTCCATACCTTCAGGTGGGACTCTACTCAGAAAGCCAGCTGGCTGTGAGGTGAAAGAGATTATTTGCACCTGAGAATTAGCACTGCAAACACACAGTGCCCCTTAAGAAACCAGCCTCCGGTGATTCCTGAAGAGTCCCCCAGCAGAAGCCAGAACTGGGAAATGAGCTCCCTGTGGAGGCTCCACAGGATTCTGAACTGCTGGCAGGATCATTGGGCAGGGTGTCCTAACAGAAGGCTGAGAAGGCCAGAGTCCCTGGGACACTTTGCAGTATCTGCTTGGGACCCCACCCCCGGCCCTACCCTGATACTGAGCAGAACCAGACCCAGTCCTAGGACACCTCTCTCAACCCTGCAACTTGGGAGGGACACCCAGTGACCTGTGCTTGTGGGAAGGAGAAAGAAGGAAGAAGAAATTCCTGTCTTCAGGAGTCAGCTTGCTTTACCCATCATGTCACGGTGGCACCACTGCTTAGAAACCTGGCGATGTCCAGGGAGGTGACTGACGGACCTCCTCTGCTGCCCTTAGGCAGGGAACCCTTTTCCTCACACTCACCTTGGGAGCTGGCCTTGCAGGCCCTCACTGATTACTTTTAATGAGTTAATAACTTTGTTTTCTTCTTTTTTTGGTACCAGGGAGCGAACTCTTGACCTCACACTTGCCAGGCAAGCCCTTACACCACTGAATTAAATCCCTGGCCCGAGTTAATAAATTTTAAAAGTTATTTCTGTTAACATTACTTGTCTCATCTGAAAGTTCAGGCCTCAACATGCCAGATTCCCTAAAGATATCACCGTACCTCCCCCAGCCTCAGTTTTCCGGCCCCTAAAATTGATAACATCCAGTCCTACTCCTAGGGTGTGAGAGATGCATGAGACTTCTCCCCGCAGACTGAAGCCTGTAACTTGGGGGAGGCCCCCCGGGACCAGCAGAGGAGGAGAGTGAGTCCCCTGAACCTGGCTGGCCGGGCCTGAAGCCCTGGCTCTCCCCAGAGTCTTGGTGCTGCTGGGGCCTCCTCCTGTCCCTGGCTGCGCCTTCTCACTGAGGAGTTTAGAGCTGCCTGGGGGTTAGAGTGGGTCCTTTAGATTGTCCTCTGCTCCCTTTGCCCTGGGGTACATTGGCACCCAGGCTTCCAGCAGCCTTCTTGGCCCTGGAAACTCACACTGAGAGTCTTTAAAACAAGGAATGCACTCAGTGACATAAATTTTACAAGGCTTGACTTTGTTCCTGTCATTTCTTTTTAGATTTGGAAATGAAGAAATAGAGCGCATCTTCTCAGGCCTGGAGAACAACAAGAGGCTTCAGGGCCTCAGTCTGCGGTACTGTGGGCTGGGGCCAGGCAGCGGGCCTAGGCTGGGCCTGGTCATCAGCCGGAGTGCCGTCTGGTGAGATGGCCTCACTTTTGTCTTCTGCTGCACAATCCATTTGATAGTTATTTTTGTTTGCTTATTCTTAACTATTAGAAAAAGATTCTTTAAAGTTTGAGAATCACGGGTGTCAAGCTGAATTCACATTTAAACACCTGAAGAAGTCACTATTTTTTATGATATGGTCTATTTTTCTTTATTACGATTATCAATTATTTCATGGATATATATATATATATATACACACACACATATATATATATAATTTTATCAGAAAAAGACTTCCAATCCTAATTTGAGGAAGTGGAACTAACATCCCATGAACAATGTATCTCACCCTCTTCCGCAGCAAGCTGCACCTTGATGGTAACGATTTGCAGTGCTCCGGAGCTCTGGCTCTGCTCAGGCCCCTAGTGGAGTACGCGGAGACGCAGGAGAAAGACTTGCCCGCCACAGCTGTGCCCAACACCGGAAGCCTCCCTCCGCCGCTCCACAGTAGGTACAGCTACTTGGCTCTAGGTTCCTTTTTGGAGCCACCTAGAAAGAGGGTACTGCTTTGTGATTGAAAGTGACCTTCTAGCCAGTGCAGCAATGCATCCGGCAGAACATGAGTCCAAGTCTCACCTGGGAAACTTAGTGAGATCCTGTCTCAGAATAAAAAAACAAAAAGGAATGGGAACATAGCTCAGTGGTAGAGCAGCCCCCGGTTTCATCCCCTGCAACCTCCCCCAAAATGCAACCTCCCCACAAAATGAGCGTCTTGATGGCCAATGGAGATTCTTCTTTCTGAGAATGTGTGGGAGACAGAATAATGGCCTCCAAAGATATCTTTTTTCTAATCTTGAGAACCTGTGAGTATGTCATGTGGCAAAAGTGATTTTGCAAGTGTGAGTAAATTCAGGATTTATATGAAGAGAAGACTTTGGATTATCCTAGTAAATCCAGTGCAACCACAAGAATCTTTATCTATCTATCTATCTATCTATCTATCTATGTATTATCTATCTATCTATTATACCTAGGGCCTTCACTCTGAGTGCTTGCTCTCTCTCTTTCTCTCTCTCTCTCTCTCTCTCGCTCTCTCTCTCTCTCTCGCTCTCTCTCTCTCTCTCTCCTTTTCTCTTCTCTTTTCTTTCTTTTTAAATTTTGAGATAGGCTTGTGCTAAATTGCTTAGGTTGGATTTGAACTTGGAATCCTCCTGCCTCATCCTTCCAAAATGATGGAAATACAGCACTGTGTGCCACCATCCTCAGTACAAGACTCTCAGCAGGAGGTGGGTTAGAAGGTCAGAGTCACAGAGGATGCGGTGGTAGGTGCAGAGTTGGAGTGGTGTGAGGAAGGAGCCAGGGAATGCATGCAGCCTCCAGGAGCTACAAAAGGCAAAGAAACTGCTTTTCCCCAGAGCCTGCAAAGGAAAGTGGTTCTACTGAGACCTTGACTTTTGCCTGTAATTCTCACTCAGACTTCCAACCCCCAGCACTGTAAGCCACTCGGTTTGTTACAGCAGCAGTAGGGGCTCAGCCAAGGTGCTGGCCCTTCCCTGGCTATGGATAAATAGGAGACCCAAGGTGGACATTTGCCACCATAAAAGCTCCTGTCAGATGCTGAGCTCTCCTGTGCCTTGTCCTTGCCTAACCCTGCTTTTGGAACAAGGTTGTGTGAACAATTCCCGAGGAGTGTGTTGGAGGGCTGCGGATGGCTTTGGGGAAATCCCAACTGTCATAAGGATGCTGTTCCTGGGAGTAAAGCATCCTTGGTCACAATCGTTTCGATTCTACTTTACAAAATAAGGCACAGCTCTCTCCCACTCAGCATCTTACCAGGGTACCTGGCTGTGGGATACAAAAGGAAAGAGACCATTCAAAATACTACCTCAAATGTTATAAAAGTGAATGATTATAACTTAGTGATGAACCATTATTATACCTCAAAACAAAATTGAAGGAAGACCTAGTCAAATTATCAAATGACAGGTTATTAAAATCCTTCCTCTGTGTGTGTGTGTGTGTGGGGGGGGTGATAGACTGCTGTGTGACTTTTAGCCTATAACCCAAAAATTTAAAGACCCCATAATGCTGCTAGGATAGAACTCCTTCTAGGCTTACTCCATTGAAAATAAATAACCTATTTTAAGTGCATCCCATGCAATATTTAGGCTATGCACGTACGAAAATAATTACCCTTTGTTTATCTGACATTTAAGTTGAACTGGGTGTCCTGTTGGGGTGAAATGGGGTGAGGGGTGGAGGAGAAGCTAAGTCTGGCAGCCCTATCCCATTTCCATGCTGCTTGCACAAGATGTCTCAGGACTTACAACAGCGAGTGCCAAAAATAGAAAGAGAATGATAATCAACTCTGCTTCATTCGGACAGAAACATTCCCCAGTGAATACGGGAATTCACTGTAAAAACAGATCAAAGACCATCATCCATCTCACTGAGAGATGAAACCATGAAATTTTATTTTTGTATTTAACTAGAATTCATCAAAATATGTGAAACACACATGTATTGATCAATAGTGTAGTTATAAAAGTAGAGTAGTAAATACAGGAGAAATTTTTAACACATGAGATGCATAGGATCCCAAGAAAATTTTTAAATTTAAGTATTTGTACCTGTAGCATTTTTATTACACAGAAGTCTTACCAAATAATCCATAAGTGTTTCTCCTTCTCTCTCTCTCTCTTTCTCTCTCTTTCTTTCTTCTTCAGTGGTACCAGGGATTGAACCATGGACCTTCATACTTAGCTACATACTAGTCTTTAAAATTTATTTTTCTTGTGCCTTGTTTCTCTGAGCACCCACACTCTGTTCGTCATCCAACTCAATAAACCCTCTTCATGCCTCTTTTACTGATGCATCCTGCAGATCCTCTTGCCGTGATGGCAGTTGGCAAACCTCCACACTTATGTTAAAAGACTGAAGAAGCACTTCATCTATGGGATGTGAAGTTATCAAGAAAGTAGGAAAAATGCAAGAGAATTTTGCTGTGGGTCTTCTGAGCTCTTGTGGGCTTATCTGTGCTGTGCTTTGCTGGACTTGACCATCAGATGCAAGTTGGAAAATCAGGATAAAGGAAAATAGCTCATGTAATACTTCTCGTAGTAGAAGACAGGAAAGCAAAAATGATGAATGGAAGTGTACGTGCCCCTGGAACTTTCTGTCTATACAGCACTAACAAAACATTTTCTTGGCCAAGGCAAAAACCAGTATGGAAGCAGATATTTTTTTCCTCCATGCTAAACCACAGCTAGAATAGAGAAGTTCCATGGCAGCTATGTGGGCTGGGAGGAGCATCAAGAAGCCAACCCATGCCCTCCTATGAGTCAGCAGTGTATGCGCTGGGAGACAACAAGAGTTGAAACACCACCCCCACCATTCCCGTGAGCAGCCAGCTAATTCCGGGGAACACAGGCTGAGATGAGAGCAAGTGAAATTTCAACAAATCTAAGGCTTGAATTGTTTGATTGCCTTTGCAGTCCTATAGCCTGTAGTCTGAGCATCTATCTATTTAGAGGATAATAATACACAGTATAGCAACTATGGGGAATTTCCTTCTATCTTGTTTTTGAAATCTAATATTGTTCTGTTCTGTTTTGTTTTGTTCCATTTTATTGTTTTGTTTTATACCTTTGAAATAAAAAAAATTTAAAAAGGAACGAATAAGGGGGAGACATGAATAAATAATAACGTCTACATGCTGAGTACACTACATAGATTAGATAGATAGATTTTGTTTTGTTTTTTGAGACAGAGCTTACTAAGTTGCCCAGGCAAAGCTCAAACTTGTGGTGTGTCTGCCTCAGCCTCCCAGAGCGCTCCTGAGATCACAGGCATGTAAAACCATACTGGCTAAGACTTTTAAGTATAAAATTCTACAGAGTAGACAGAATGGAAATACAAATAAAAGCACAAGAAGAAAAGAGAATAATGTAAATTTTTCAATTCTTAAAGAAGAGTTTGTATGTGTTTTATGTTATTTTGTGTTTTATGTTATTTTGCTTGCAATTAAGTTTCTACTTAATCTAGTTAAGAAAATGATATAAAAGATTTTTTTTAATGTCAATGTCTGCCATATGGTAGAAATTTTCTTCTTTGAAATTTAAAAGCTTTAGGGGCTGGGGATTTAGCTCAGCGGCATAAGCACCTGCCTTGCAAGCAGGCAGTCGTGGGTTCGATCCCCAGTACCGATAAAAAGGAAAAAGACCAAAAAAAAAAAAAAAAAAAAAAAAAACCGAAATTTAAAAGTTGATAGTGAAAAACTTAGATATCAGGTGGGCATGGTTTTATGAACCTGCTACCCAGTACTCTGGACAATTGAGACAGGAAGATCACAGTTTCAAGCCCACCCTGACAACTTAGAGACTTAGCAAGATTGCATTTTAAAATTTAAAAAGGGCTTGCAATGTAGCTCAGCCCGAAGGCCTGGGTTCAATCCCTAGTGCCACAAGCAGTAAAACTTTAAAAACCTAGAAGTGTAAAAGATAATGTAATATTTTCAATATTCCTTTGAAATAAGAACTTATAATTTTTTTAAGTGCTCAGCCTGGATCCCAGGGCAAGCACTCCACCACTGAGCTACATTCATAATGTACAAAATTGTTTTGGGACCATGCTTTACGAAGCCCATATGTTTGGATCTCACTCCTGTCCTGCGAGCGACTCCCAGGGCGCTCAGTAACTTTATCTTCGAGCAGGAGTCAGGCGTGATGGATTTGTGCTGCTGACAACCCATGGGGCCCAAATGACTCACAACACAATCACAAGTCTTTTGTTGTTGTTTTGCAATACTGGAGAGCAAACCCAGGATTTTGTGGATGGTAAGGAAGCACTCCACCACCGAGCTACGTCCCCAGCCCTTTTTAATTATGTTTTATTTGAAACAGACTCTCACTAATTTGTTTATGCTGGCCTAGAATTTGTGGTCCTCCTGCCTCAGCCTCCCAAGTAGCTGGAACTACAGTTATCACTCAGCAACAAGTTTGTTTTCTTAATTACATGTGCAATGTGCAAAAGTGCTCTGAGCAGTGATATGCCTTCCTTCTCTGTGTGCTGTACATGCATGTGGGTCCTGATAGATTCCACATTGTCTGTGCCTTAGGGAGGGCCTGGGAACATGTGTGCCCATGCAGGTGTGCACCTGGGTGGTAAGTGCGTGCATGGGCGGGGTGTAGTCATTTTTAAAAAGTGTAATAAATATACATGTGATCCAGTTTGTTAGAAGGTGACACAGATGAAGAAAAGGAACAGGCATGGGAAGCATGGAACATGAGAATCCAGCAAAGGAATACAGGACAGGACGTTAGAAGGGCACATAAGCATGGCCTCCTGGTGGAGGTGGCCTCTGAGACCAGACACAGCTCAACAGGAAGGAGTGCTTGGACATCTTGGGGGAGCGCCCAGGCAGAAGAAGCAGCCTGCACCAGGGGCCCGGAGGTGAAGGGTGCTGTAGCCGGGAAGGAGCAGAGATGCAGCTCCAGGGCTGCACTTGA